CGCACGCTATTTCGTGCCACATGGTCCAAATTGTACACATTGTCACTGTTGAGGACCGTCAAAGAGAAAGGAAAAAACACTTCGGTATCAAATGGGTTCAAATCACAGGGCAGCTGAGCCAAAAAATCGCCCCCATCCACTTTCAGCGGCGGAATAAACTAGAGGAAAGGAATCCTGAAAACTGCCGAAGCTCGCGATTGGCAGGTCTGAATCAGCACGTCGTCATCTTCTTCACACCACAGGTTAGTCTCCTCCTCCTCCTCTTCTCCTCTCCCTCGGATAGATCTTTCTCGCCCTCGCCCGAGGGTTCAAGCTCCTCTCGATCCTCCCACGTCCGAACCTATACCCCCTCCCCTCCCGAACCCCGCGACGCCCACCAACGTGTAAATCATATAAGGACTTTCCTACTGGCGTACTCTGGTCGAAGTATGCATATGTTATTTACTTATTACTGCATGCCATTTTACACATGTTTTAACCATGGCGTATTCATCCTTTTTTTCGAGATAAACATGCATGCATACATATGCTATAGGTTGTCATTAAGTAGCATTCTCTACAAAGAATCACTCAATTGAGTGCATGAGATCTACACAATAATTCCCTACTAGTGTCTACTTGCATTCCAGCCAATACAAGATATAACGGCATTCATCCAGGATTCGTACATCATAAGTCAAATAATCCTTGTAAATGTATAGAAATTGATGAGACAAAATTGGTACTTATATAAATATTCACCAACCAACTTACTCTATGCTAATAATTAATGTCGTGTGCATATATATTGCTCCATCACCACCTAAGCAACACAACCTCGAAAGTCTACCAGTTACTACACTTCTTCCTGCTAGCAGTAGGCCAGTGATGAGGAAAAGATAATTTCTAGTCTAGAGCCGAGAAGCATGGCAGAAGAAGAGATGCAGATCATGTATTCAATTAGGAATGTGAGCTTCAAGAAAGACATGGTCATTGCCATGTAGAATTACTAGCGAAACAAGAAGGGCATAGGATATCAAACATCACGTACTAGGTGCAGCTAAATCCAACTTAGGCCTAGTGTCCCTTTTGCTTGTGAGACCATTGAAACTAGTTGATTAGCAACATATAATGTATCCGCCGCAATCGTGGTTTGTCGAGCTCCCCTCGACCTTGATCAGATCTCTTAGGTGATAGAACCATACCCGCACAGGTTCCCTTCATGCAGACTATGTCATGTATGTACGTGTTTGTGTGCACTTACGTGAGTGATATGTTTCTGAAATAAAAGAAAACAGAACCTTAACCTTTTTTTCGAGGGGTAATAGCATTTTTTTGAGGCATTTTTGAGGGGTAATAGCAAAGTTTTATATTGATCAAACCTTGAGAGGGGCGTTTTGGCGAACGAGCTGCCTGGAGGCCGTAATCCTCATCGAGCGTTTTAGCATCAGGATGTGTGTCGTTTTCCTTTTGAGCTATATACGTCGGATATTTGAGATAAATACACCGGTGCCATCCTCTCGTGTTCACGATATGTACGTGGGCCTGCGTTTTAGCCGGTGCCTCGCGTGAACATGATGTTCTCCCTGGGCGACTTTGAATTTGGCCCACTTCGCGGGCTGGTGTGGATCGAGAGTAAATGTATCTTGTAGGCCCGCTCGATGACCATTACGAGGTTGGGGCGATGTGCCGGAGACGCGTGTTTGGCCCGTTGACACCTAGCTCGAGCATACCAGAGCAGAGCTGCTTTTACCATAGATGGCATAGAGTTCTTCTTCGAGGAATCGGACGAGGGTAAATTTTCCCCTAATTCTCATTTTTTGCCTGATTACGATCGCGCGGGGGGGGGGGGTGTCCTTAGTTGGGTGGCAGTGGGTTGGATTAGAGTTTTCCCAGCTTTGTTCATCCAAAATCAGATCTGGTTGTGTATTGTTTGTCTGGGCAGGTTGGTCTCTCGTTTGGACGACGTGCTTGTCTTGAGAGACGGCTGTGCGCAGCTCATTGATGATGAGACGAGCGAAATTACTGGTGCCCAAGATGACTTAATTTATTCTGAGCCAGTGTGCCTGGATGGGTACCCTATGGAGGAGGCATTTGTAACGGAGAGGAACTGCAGCTCGTACAATGGTGGTGGCGAAGAGGTAGGGGATTCGTGTGACCCAGGCGCTGGGAGTATTGCCCGTGACACGGCAGCCGAGGATAGAGAGGAAGACGGCATGGTCGTGTCAAGACAAAGGGGTCTTGTTGGACCAGGAGGTGATGTTCCTGTTCTTCATATTAAACTTCATTCCATGATATTCGTCAGACATAATTTTGCAGCTGTGTTGTGTGAGATTCAGAACAAAACACCTATATTGTTGGTTAGAATGAATCATCAGCAGAAGCCGGCACAACACAGTCATTGCTTTGCATTGCAAAAAAAAAATGGCAGCTTATTTCCTGATTTATTGATGTGCCGTCGTTCACAGGGTCAGGACTAGTAAGGCAGCAGATGAGAGGGAGCACAGTTCTAGCAGAGTGTCTGCCCTCGAGGCTTCGGTTCGTGCCTATGTTGATCAAAACTGCAAATGTTATTAATCCAGCAATTGGAACTAGCTTTGAGTCTCTCGAGGAGGACTATGAGTTCTACGACCTGTACTCTTGGGAAGTTGGTTTTGGTGTCCAATACGTAAAAAGCCGTTTGAATGTACACCAGAAGAAGTGCGTATGCGCCTGTGCAGTGAGTAATCGACAGCAACTTATTTTATCAAAAAGTTTGTGCGGAATGATTCAATCTGTTTTTGTCATATATGTAGTGTGTGTGTCACATTGGACTGACCATTTTACATCTGCTGCTGGTCTCTGTGCGCATGTGTGTGTGTGTGTGTGTGTGTGTGTGTGTGTTTTCTACAGGGTATACCATTGCAGTCTAATGGCCGGTCGAAGATGTGGGTGCAATGCCATGATGCGGCTGCTGAGATCGGATGATTGTGGCTGGTATGTGTGCGAGCACATGTCAGAGCACAACCATGATCTATCAGTTAACCGTGGGGAGAAATTGCATTGGAAGTCAGCTCGGCACATAGATAGTTACACAAAGTAAGAACACAGGTAGCAACACGCCAAAAGTTGACAATCCACAATGAGCATCAGGCGTTTATTGACATTGTTCGTTTGTGGTTTGACGCCATTATAGATGACGTTTTATTTTTATAAGAACCATTTTGAGAGCTTCATTTATGCATTCTACTCCCTTCATCCCACAATGAAAGACGTTTTTACAAGCTAGTCCTACATTATGGGACAGAGGGAGTACTAGACTGTATGTTTGCTGAATTTGGGGTAGCCATGGCATTAGCAGCTTGTTGCTTTTTCTGGTAGGTCATGATAGATTGTGCTGTGGTTTAAGAAAAAATGACCTTGTTTTTTTTCCAATGATATCTCTGTTGATATATGGGCTGTGTCGTCTATCTCTCGACCGAGATGTGGATGACGACGACGCCATATCTATGGTGGTGTTCTTGTTAGCTTTGCTGGATTGCAATGGATAGGGCGGTGCTGTTCTTAGCCGGTATAAATAGATTGTTTTCAAACGGTCTGATCGTGAGCCTAGACGTTCGGCAACAGAACACTGATGTGCAATGGCCCGTGCTGTAATCATTGTTCAAGAAGGCGCTACTAGGCGCTCGCCTAGGCGCGCTTAAGCTCTGGGCGCTGGCATAGCGCCTCGCTTTGGCCCTAGGCGCTCAGAAACGCGCCCAGAAAGGTCCTCCGGCAAGAAATCGTGTTTCTCAGGCAGGAAATCAATCTCCCCAGCCAGGATTTGACCTCCCCAGCGAAGATCCATCCTCCCCGATGAGGATTCAACCAATCCGGCAACAAATCAACTTATTCCGGCGAGAGATCAAGCATTTCCGGTGAGAAATCGACTGATTCCGGCGAGGGATCAAGCATCTCCGGCGAGAAATCGAGCTTCACTGGCTGACTGGTTCCCGTGTGCAGCAAGGGAGAGAGGAAGGAGAGAGGCGGCGTGAGGAGGATCCCTAATTTTCTGTCGACTGTGCACGTATGGGAGGCTTTAGTAGGAGAATTGAATAGATGGGCCAGTGGTTTAATGGGCCAGATCAGCCCATCTACCTTGTTTCTTCATGCTACAGTGGAAACGCCTAGGCGCGCCTAGGCGACGCATAAGCGGGCTGTGCGCAAGTAGGTCACAAAACGCATAAGTAACGCCCAGCGCCTTCTTGAACTTTGGCTGTAATACTATGGGAACATGAGAGCGTGCGCGTGCCATGTTCGTGAACTGTTTGCACAGCATGGACTTGATGGGTGAAATGATGGCTTGTCTGACCAGCCTGGCAGCACTTCGTCGCTTAAATGGGATGACACTTTATGTAAAAAAGAAATACGGTGTGGTATGAGTACCTGACAGCTGAAATACACGTAGTAAATGCGGCACTGCAGTTGATCTGTACGATGACTGACGATGGAGATTACGAGCTGCATGGAGCTCGGCCTCCAAATGGTATTTTCGTCAAACCTTTAACTTTAATACCAACGGGGCTCAAATCGCAGGGCCATTTGGGCCCCGAGATCAGCCCAGCCCCCCTTCCATCGGCTCAATAAACCCGCAGAAAGGAAGTCCCGGAATCTGCCGGAGCTTGCAATTCGTCGTCGTCGTCTTCCCCAGCACAGCACAGGTCAGTCTCCTCCTCCCCTCCCTCGCGCAGATCTCTCCCGCCTCCGCCCTGGGGCTGGATCCTTCCCGGTCCTTATCGGCCCTCTCTCTCCCGAACCCCGCGCCCCGTTCGCGGCCGGGTTTCTAGATCTGAGAGCCGCGCTGTCCGTCCTCCGCCGTGATCTGATTTCTTGAACTCTGATCTACTAGCTCGAAGCGGCGGAAGCAAGGATGCCGAAGGCCGCGGGGGATGCCAAGCTCCTGATCCAGTCCCTCACCAAGGCCTACGCCGCCACGCCCACGAATCTCAAGGTAAATTTCGTTCTCTTTCCCTGGTAGTATTTTCTTTCCTCTGCCGCTGTTGACTGCCGGGTTACTGATGTGCTTCTCCTGCTCCGCAGATCATTGACCTGTACGTGGTTTTCGCGGTCGCCACTGCCCTGGTTCAGGTAAAATTTGACACTTTGACGAGGGATGCAGAAGCTATCACTGATTTGGGATGGAGAAGTGTTGGCCTAGTGTAGCATAATGGTCTTGTAGGAAGATAAATTATGCTGTTCGGAACCATACCTGGTGATCTCCTAGAGCTATCTACTGATTCAATCGAGGGCAGATATCTTGTCTGTTTGTTTTACCACATTTCCGACTATTGGTTTGTTGAGTAGGAGTACGCTATCGGGTTGCAAAAATCCGATGCGCCTAGTAGTGCATAAGAAGGTCTGATACGAGTTATCCAGCCAGATTCTTAGGTTTGAGCACTTTGTTTTACTGGCTGACCGTTAGCCAGATTCTCTAGCCAGCAGGTTCTCTCTGAGCACTTCATTTTTTCTGGCTGAGGATTAGC